TGTGGAGATGTTTTGTGCGGGAACCGGGATCAGGCCCGAGTCCCTAGTGTCGCCGGAGCAGGTAGCTCCCTACTCCCATTGCTCATTGGAGCCGCCGATCCATGGCGCGCGTAGCTATGACATGGACCGCGGCCGCGGAACCGGTGGCGGACGGGGCTGGTGCGCAGGCGCCGGCCACCGTCGTGCTGCCGGGGATGCGCAGCGGACGCTCTGGAATAGCTCCAATCGCGCGCAACTGGAGGACGTGGTGATGATCGCAAGGGTCGCAGGTGCGTCGCAGGTCAGGGTGATAAGGCCTGGCTACGCGACCATCGGGGTCGACTTGAAGCACACGAGAAGGCCGCGGGCGACCGCGAGTCGGTGCAGGCGGCGGAGCGCTCGTACGTCGAGCGCACCGCGCCACAGAAGAAGGAGCTCACCAAGAAGCAGCTCGCGGCTCGAGCCGCGGCACGCAAGGCCAAGAAGACCCGGCAGAAGGCGCGCCGGGCGAAGCTAGGAGGCCGGCGAGCGCGCCGCGAGCGAGGCCGAGCGCACGGACCGCCCGCGCGCGCAACTGCGCGAGAACATCTAGTACGTGATGGCCGGGCTGCGGTCTGCAGCTGCGCAGACGCGCAGCCAGGCCGGGTCCAAAACTGGGGTCGAATACTCGCTGCCTCCGGAGAGGGACGACGGGTATCGACGCGGCCCCAGCAAGGTGTACGCCACGGTTCCCCAGGGGACCGTGGCGACGACCGTCGCCTCGGACTGGCTCGCGAGCGAGCTGGCCGAGCACGGAGAGATCGATGCGGCATACCGCGACCGCATAGTCATGCACCTGATGACGGCCGCCGGCGCCTCGGCGCCGGCCGACGCCGTGTTCAGGTTCACGGCCGACGAGGTGATGCAGACCTCTCGCCCGACCTCCGCGTCGGGCGAGGACGACGACGAGGACACCGACCGCTCTGAGGAGTATTCCGACGGTGGGAGGGTGTCCGACTAGCTGGCCTCACCAATATCTTACCTTCTGCCCCCCTCCTGCGAGACCCACCAGGCTAGATGGAGTAGTCAGATGAAGATTCATCTGCCCCACACAGCCCCTTACCCCTTCACCCTCGCCTCGCTGCTTGCTCAATGGTGTTTCTGAACATGTAGACGTCCACGCTGTGGGGGTTGTGTGCGGGTTGTGTCTGGGAGGGAGGGAGTGGGGTGCAGGTTGCTCACCCACGGCACCGGGCCGGTGCTTGCACTTTGAATGCCCTGGGGCTCCTGCCCGTGTCCCGGGCGTGGAGATGCGAGAGTCGCCCCCCCTTGCCCCGGCCGGCGCGGCCGCGCCTCGCCGCTAAGCGCTATGACGGCCACACGACCGCCAGCTCCGAAGATGCAGCTCAGGGAGTGAGTTAGTGGCAAAACCGCGGAACGGAAAATGGCGTTTAATTTCGCGCAACTGCTGTCCGCCGCCGCCTGCGGCGGCGCGCCGCGGCGCTTGGTTAGCCTGCGGTGTCCGCCCCGCCGCGTTGCCGCCAACAAACTCACTGAGGAGCATCTTCGCAGCAGGCGGTGGTGTGGCCGCCATAGTGTTAAGCAGCGAGGCGCTGCCGCGCCGCCCGGCGCAAGAATGTGGCGACTCTTCCTTCTTCACGCCTGTGAGACGGTCAGGAGCAGCAGGGGATTCTAAGAGGAAGCACCGCCTCGGTGCCGTGGTTGAGTAACATGCCGCACACTACTTCCTTC